GCAGAGTTTTGGCAACTGGTCCTAAAAGGGGCAACAGGAGCGGCGTGGCCTATGAGTGGGTCCTGTGTTTCAGGTCACCCTGGGAGAAAGCCGTGGCACTCTTTTTGAAACAGGGCTTACTGCGTATTTAGATGTCATTGTAGCTCTTAGGAAGAGCAGCCAGGCACTCACAGGCTGGACTGTCCATGCAAAGGACCTGCCAGCCCTTTTAAATTATATTGCTAAAAGCCAGTCATCTCCTTATATTTCAGACAGATCATTTGCACCTAATGTCGAACCACTGCCTTATGATCACGTTGCATCAGCTTCCAGTTACGGCCTGCATTGTGAAGGAATAGATGCCGAGCTGCTCAGACCCCCCTCCCCCAAGAGTTTTCCCAGGGACTCCTACCAAGATGACGATCAGTTAATAGTGTTTGCTGCATCCTGAGTGTTATGTGCTGCTCTGGAATCCCTATACCTTGCATCTGGTTCCTTCAGAAATGCTTTTCCTTTTTCCTCTCTCTTTATGTTTTAAATCCGTAAAGCTTCCTTGCCCTCTCCTTGTGCTCAGCACATCCTGGCCTGGCACAGTTCCGTTTCATCTTTGGTTGTGTCCGGAGTTCTGTCTTAATGAGACGGGAGAAAGTGTTCCAGTAGAACCACCAGAGGTGGCAAGAAAACTAAAATTTCAGTGGAACTCTCCCATGGTGGAGGGATTCCTCCTCAGCCTCGCCTTTGGACCGTGGATGCAGCCTGTCCCTGGCGTAACCCCCTACCTCCGTCCCTGACGCCTGCTTCCCACCTCCGCTGCGGCCTCTTAAGTTTCCCAGTGAGCCTGACATGCCGTCACATAGAGTTCGTACACATCCGATATATACCGAACTTGGCCTCTTCCCTGCCTCACTGAACAGGGGTAACATTTGAGGACAGAGGTGACATCTGTTTTTCCTCTCTCACCCAGTGCACATAGGACAGTGCCCAGCTCCCCACATGGGGACCGAAGGTGGATTCTGGGGAAGAGCTTTTATAACTTCATAGTGGTTAATTAAGTCTCTTTCATCTAAATAGGGTATTTGTGGGTAGTCATAACAAGACTTGTAGTAGGGAGTATTAAAAAAACAAAATGTTTTTACCCTGGGACCCAGAGTATTAGACCGAACATAAGGATTGCCCACGAGGAAGAAGGTGGCTCCGGCTTCATGCACAAGCCCGAGTTTGCAGAGAGCATGTTCTGCCTGCCCCTCTGGGCTCCCATCTGCCGCTGCACTCTCTCCCGAGGTTGGCTGAGACCCTCAGTGGGGAGCAGGGAGAACAGCCGTAGCCTCGGCCCCACTTTGCACAGAGAATTTCTTGGCATCTCATGGAAGAATAGCTTACATGGTTTTTACAGCATCATGTCAACTCTTAAAGTCTTTAGTCACTCATGAAAAAACCCTGTGATTTTGGAACCAGTTTTTCCATCCCATTGGTTGCGGAACTGTGACTCGTATGTGGTGATCTTTTGGCTTTGAAGCTGCCATCCTAATGTAGCAGCTGGTACCATTTTGTAATGGGAGGAGCCTGAGAGAAAGTGTGTCGTTGTGCTTCCTCTGGCCGGAAGGGATTTGTACGCATCCCCCCAGTAGCCATGGCTTCCTGGGATTTGTGCTTAAAGGAGATAAAGCCGGTCATTTTGGTTCTCGGAATCTTAGGGAGCTTTATTAACCACACAATGTCCCTTAGTAGTCAGAGCGATAGATAGCTCAGGCCAGGCTCAAAGGAGTCTTTTTTTTCTTTTTCTTTCTTCCAAATGGTAGTATGTTTTATGACCCACAGTCTAACCTTTCATATATGGACATTCGTAACAAGGATGATGATGGTGACGGTAACAGGGAAGATGGAGTACTGACTGCTCTGAGCACTTGCCGTGAAGCCGCTGATTTAGTCCCACAGTTTAGCGATCACTCAGAGGAGTGCCTTTTGACAGAAGTGTCCATTGCCTCTGCTCCTTCTCCATGCTGCGTCCTCTCTCGCAGCCCCTTCCCAGTTCAGTCTCCGCGCCTCCCATCACGATTGGCACCCACACCCCACAGTAGCAAACTGCCGGGATCAGGAGACAAGAAGCGGAATCCCGCCAAGGCCACACAGGTCCCCTGCCTTCTTGCGGACTCTCAGCATCTCGCAGCGCTGGGAAGGTGCCAGGCAGACTCGGATACCCCGACCTTGTGGCACCTTGGGTTTGACTTGGTTCGTTCTGTGCTTCGCAACATCCAGAGCCAAGAGAAGAAAGCCCAGCTCTGAGACGGCAGCTCAGGGGTCACACGCCCAGGGGCCTGTGGGGTCTGGGCAGGTAGTCTCGGGGAGTGACGTGGGGCCGGGGGTAAGACGCAGACGCCCCTTCGGTGTGCGCACTGAAGTCGTAAGGGAAGCTCACACTTCCAACCAAGAGATATGCTCTTGCCCATTTTTCTCAGAACGCCTCACCTAGCTTTCCTGTTCCCAGTTCCTCTAGACACAGGAACCCCAAGAGGATTCTACCCTGGGAGAGAAACAGCACGAGAGCGATAGTAGTGGGTGGCAGCTGATGTTGACTTCAGCAGGAAGGAGGCAGAGAGGGAGAGTGGGGACTGGGGCCACCGGGAAAGCACAGGGCCTGTCTACAGGGGCAGCTGCTACTCGGCCCCAGCGTTCCTGGCTCTTAGAGTTTTTCAAGAGAAGCTGGGAAATGACATTTCAAGTGGAGCTCTTCCAATTTTTACAAAGGTAGCTTAAATTTAAAAATAAAAACATACAAAGAAGCCACTGTCTGGCCAGACACAATGTGTGGCTACAGGTCTGTGACCGCCAAATTCAGGAATATTCATTATCACCAGATGGTCCTGTCCTTGGGTAAAGAAATATGGGATGTTACCTGCAGACGCACAGGAGTATAGCCTGTAGGCCAGATTGCCTTAAAACATCCTCAAGGGGGCCCAGTGTGGTTCCATTCAGTTCTCTTTAATCTTCCAGGTCTCCCTAGCACATTGCCTTATACAGTAGGAGCTCAAGAAGACAATGGTGTTGGTTTCTGCTTATATACAACTTTGGTTTCTGGTACTTTCGGTTTATTCTGATTCCCACTGGTCCTTATAGTTCCAGTGCTCATGCTGTCCAAACAACTTCAATTGTAGATTCCTGGGACAGAGATACCGATTGGTTCCAGTCAGGCCAGACTGGTGTACCCTGGTTCAGTCAGTGTCTCAGGGCAGTGGGGGTCTTGGACTAGAAGGCTTCCCCTTCTGGCCTCGGGGTGGGTGAGTGTGGGTGGCAGGTACAGCAGATAAGGATGTGTGGAGTGGGCAGCACCGGTGAGCATATCTCCTTTGGATATCACTCTGGTAGAGACAAACAATAGCTTGTTTTCCACTTATGCATTTTCGTCGTTTCTCACAGAGTCCTCCAGATAGCTCCATTACCTGCCTCTAGCAAAGAAAACTCAAGTTTGTCTTCTCTAAAGCGCTACTTACCATTTCCTGGGAGCTGAGTTGGATTCAGGCATTCTGGGGCTGGGTTTCTTCTCAGTTAGTCATTTCCAGCAGGTTCTGGCTCACCCTGAGGAAAGTTCCATTATCTAGATAGAGCACGTCCTTGGCAGGCTGGGGTGCTACTAGAGAAGCCAGAAAGGAAAGGTACCTTGGTGCAAAATAAAATACAAAAGTATAAAGGTATTTTGGCATGTTGAGAGGATGTTTTTTTAAAAAGTTACAAGTTAGGCTTTAAGTGATAAACTTAAAGGATGTTGCAATGACAACATTTTAGTTTAAGGTTCTGTAAACCACATCCTTCCTACTAAATTGACCCACTGCTTGTTTTTATAAAGTTTTATTGGAACATAGCAACACCTGTTTGTTTACTTATGGGCCATAGCTCTTTATTGCCTTATAGTATCAGAATTGATGTGGAACAAAGACTCTATGGCCCACAGAATCAAAAATATTTACTACTCAACCCTTCATAGAAAAAGTTGGCCAACCCATGTTTTAGTCCATTCATCAAAAAGTATCTCCTTAGACTGAGAATGACAGTTGTATGCCATTGTTAGAGAAAGGAAGTTGATATTTCAAAAAACAGTCCTAGGGGAATGCCGGGGAACGGAAAATAGGAAGTGTTCTTTGCTCTTTTATCCAACTTGACTGACTCGGTGGATTGCTTGACAATCCCTTGGTATTTCCAGTTGAAGATATGCTGGACCAGAACGCCTGCACTTGGGCTCCTGAATGCACCCTTGGCAGGTGAATTCTTCTTCCCCAAGTAATCTGAGATTTTTAACCCACCCATTTAGTTTATGTCTATTAAGCAAACCTTTCTCTTACATCTTTTTTTAATTATCTTTCAGTTTATAAAAGTGATATAAGGTGATTGTAAAAAAAAATTAGACCATGCACAACAACACAAAGAAGGGAATTAAAAATTGCCCACAGTTCTGTCACTGGAGTCCCCTCTCATTCATGTACTTATAGCTAATTAACATGAGATATTATGTATTAAAAATCTTTTCGCCAAATTGGAAGCATAGACCTACTGTTTTACAACGTGTTTTTTTTTAAAAGTTACTATATACCAAACAGTCTCATTTCATTAAATATTCTCTTTTACCATAGTTCTTCATTATTACATAGTATTTTCACGTGTGTATTCCATGATTTACTTAATTTCTCATTGCTGTCTACTTTGGTTTTGAATGTTTTACTATTCAGAAACGGCACTTAACGTTTCTCTCTGATTCTTTGGGATAAATTCCTTGGATTAGAATCACTGGTTTAGAAAGCATGAAGCATTTCTAAGGCTTTCAGTAGACTTTGCCCTACAGATCTTGCTTTTATATACCCACCAGAAGGGCTCGAAAGCACCCAGATTTTGAAAGTAAATTTAAAAGGTTACTGTATTTTTATTGGAAAGATTTTGATAGAATATTGGTTGAGGTGGCCCCAACCTCATCCCTTGCGTGCGTGAATGCCAGTGGTGAGTGACTGTGATTTTGGCTTCTTGTCCCCTTTTAGGCTCCCCCTCCCAAACCGCCCCGCAGGCATGGAGGCTGGGCAGATGATTCCATGAAGGCTTCAAAGTAAGTGCCAGCAGCTTGTGAGGGTGGAAGTGGGCACTTGGCTCTAGGGTTGGGTTTTTCTTTAATTTTTTTAGAACTTTCCTGAGGTGTAATTCTTATTCCATGTAATTCACCCATTAAAATGTACAATTCAGTCGTTCTTGGTGCCTTAACAGAGTTGTGCTACCAACACCACAGTCAGTTTTAGAACATTTTTATCACCCTCCCCTCAAAGAAACCTGGTACCCATTAGCAGTTATTTCCCATGTCCCCCCAGTCTCCCTAACCCTGGGCAGTCACCATTCTGCTTTCTGTCTATATGACTGGCCTGTTTGGACATTCCACATACATGGAATCCTACTTTATGTGGTCCTTTGTGACTGACTTCTTTCACTTGGCCTGATGTTTTCAAAGTTCATCCATCTTGTAGCATTCTGTGTTCTTTTTTTAAGAAATTGAGGCACAAATGACATATAACATTATACTGGTTTCAGGTGTACAACATAATGACTCAGTATTTGTATATATTGCCAGTGACCACCACAATGTACAGTTAACATTTGTCACCATACATAGTTATAAAAAAATTTTTCCTTGTGCTGAGAACCTTTAAGATCTACTCTCTTAGCAGCTTTCAAATATGCAGTACAATATTATTAACTGTAGTCACCATGCTGTGCATAACATCTCCATGACTTACTCATTTGATAACTGGAAGTTTGTACATTTTGACCCTCATTCAGTGTTCTTAAAGTAACTTTCTGAACAGAATGGAATTGCCTGTTAGCCATTGTAGGATTACAAACGACTTTGGTCTTTAATCCCCCGCACGAAGTCTTAGATGAATAGTAAACCAGAAAAAAATATGTACTACACCAGCAGAGGATGGCTGACTATCAAGCTTAACTATTTAAGGTAGACTGGGGAAGGGAATTTCTTTTTCTTTGAAACATAGACATTGCTCTTGTCTAGAATTTCCTTCAGTACCTGTTGCCTTAAAAACATATATTTTTTCTAATTCTTTCCTCCCTTCCTTTCCCCCTCTGTCTCACACACGTACACTTTATTCCCCCTGAATCATTTGAAAACAAGTTGCAGAAGTCATGATATTTCACCTCTAAATACTTCAGCATGCATTTCTCAAGATTAAGGACATTCTCCAGATGATCACAGTATGATTATCACATCCAAGTAACTTCATAATGATTTAATATTTAATAATAGTTTATATTTAAATTTACCCAGTTGTCCCAAAATGTCCTTTATAGCCCCGGATCCAGTTAGAGTTCACGCATTGTGTCGGGTAGTTCTCCCTCTTTATCTAAAATAATTTTTATTTAAGTTTATCCAGATAAATCTATTTAGATAATGATAAACTTATCTTATCTAAAATGTCTCTCTTGATCTAAAATAATTCCAATTCCTCCCCTGTTCTCCCATACATTGTCTTTTTTTGAGGAGTCCAGGCCAGTCGTCTTGTAGAGTGTCTTAAATTCTGGTTTTCTCTGACTGATTTCTCATGATCAGGTTCAAGTTGTAGGTTTTGGGCAAGAACAGGTGATTTTGTGTACTTCTTATCATATCAAAATGGTATAGAAACACATCCTGAGAGACGGCTCACTCCCATCCTCACTCCCTCCTCCCATTTCCGTCCGTCCCCTACGGGTCATCTCTTTATTAGCTCTGGTCTGCCCTAACTATGCCTTTTTTTTTTTTTTTTGCAGAATTCAACATAAACATATACAATTTTAGTTTACTCTCCTTTGTTTCTATATATTAGGATTCAGCAAACTTGACCCACAAGCTAGCTGCCAGTTTTTATAGATCATGTTTTATTGGAACAGGACCACACCCTTTCATTTGAAAGATTTAGATCTCTGATCTGTTCGGAATTAATTCTATTGTATGATATAAGGTATGGATCAGTTTTGTTTCCAAATGGCTATGGTCCCACCACCATTTATTTAAAAATCCATCTTTCTCTGGTAAATTTAGAAACCACCTGTATCATAATTCTACATCTTCGTACATACCTGAGTCTACATTTAGAATTGTTATTCTGTTCTAGTGGTTTTTCTGTCTGTTCATATGCCGACAAATACCACACTCTTTCCTATATAGAATATAGCACTACTTTTCAGTGCTAACCAAGAACAAGAAGGTAACTTGGAAACATAGGTCTCATATATCAATGAGAGTCTTCTAGAGTGGCCCCGTGTTTCTAAGGCATTAGGGGATTTTCGTGCTTGTAATATCTGGAATTTATTTTGAAAGATGGAGATGAGACAAACCCTGTATCTGCTGCTTAGAGAACAAAAGGAAATCTCAAAAATGAACATATTAAATGAATATATCAATGAATATGTTAAAGATTTTTCCAGATCAAATCAGTTTGCTCTGGGAAAAAGATGCTTTTCCGTTCCGTACGTTACTTTTCAAAGTATTGTCTTGTGTGGCTCCTCAGTCTGTGGCCTAGTCTGACCGCTCTCAATGTTGGGGGACCCAGGGCCCATCCTTGAACCTCCTCTCTTCAGCGTCAACACACACGCTTGCAGGATCTTGACCCCGTCTCGGGAGTTTGACTATCACGTTCACAGCGACGACTCCAAAATATATATCCATCCAGTCCTTTCCCCGAACATCCACTCATCCAGCTGATGTTTCCACTTGGATACACAGCTCAGTCATAGCATATCTGAATCAGTTCTCTTCCTTGTCACCCCCCCCGTCTCATCCTCTAACCTGCACCTCCCAAAGTCCCCCTGAGATCTCCGTAAATGGTGACTCTTATCTTCCCCGTTACTTCAGACCATAAACTTTGGAATCCTCCCGGACCCCTCTCCTATCTCAGCCCACGTTCAGTCTGTCAGCCAAGCGGGTGAAGTCTACCGATGAACTCCGTCTGTGGTCTGTGCTGCCAGTGCTCGGCTGCAGCCGCTGTCAGGTCTGGCATTGACTCGATCGAGAACATCCCGACTGGTCTCCCCTGCGTCCTTTCTCCCTCCACCTTATCTCCACAGAGCCAGAGGGACCTTTTTACACCATAAGCGAGAGCATTTCCCTTGTCTCCTCAGAGCCCTCCAGTGGCATTTCCTGTAGTCCAGGTAAATCCCAAAGTTCTTACCATGGCGGACAAGGTATGGTAAAAAAACAAACAAACGTGTTTTTGTTTTTTTTTTTTTTACTAAATATAGGGAATAACTTTATTTTGTCCTTGTTTACACTGTATGCATAATGAAAAAATAACTTGAAAGATATAGAAATATCCTATTACATTTAAGGGAAAAAGAACAGTAGTTTCAAAATGCTTAGGATTAGGAGAAAAATGTTTCAAAGTATGTTTTTTAAAATCTGGAATACAAATATATGCAGTAATCTTTTTCTTATAACTGTCAACTTTATGAAGCAACTTTAGTCCCAAAGAACAGACTGTTGCTCTTTTAAGAAATGGGTCTTCTTGAATTGTAAACTTTAACACCATTTTGTATTGAAGAGCGAGAATATTTAGTGAGTAATGCACCTATGGTTTGCTTCTCTCCACACAAATCTTGCATATATGGAGCAATGTCCCTGACCTCACTTTATATAAAGTAGCACCCCTCATCACTCTGTGTTCCCACCTCTTACTTAATGTATCAGCATGTGACATACACGCATACATACATGCGTGTGTTTGTGTGTGTGCACGCACATAGAGTCTTTTTCTCTCTCCTGTAACGTAAGCTGCTTTTTTAAAAAATTTTGTACTCTTTTTTTTTTTAATGAGCCCTTGACACGCATGAATTTTACATTTACAGTGTATCTCAATTCAGATGCTAAATTTGTCAAAGAAACCCTTGATTGGTGTTTCGATTTTATAAAATTTACAGTTGAAAAGTAGATTCTCATATTAACTCCGTTCCAAACATATTTAAAAGTTTTCCAGTAAATCAACTGAGTGTAGTTTAAAAATTTAAACAAATAAATTAAATAAAAATGAGAAGTTCTGCGTTCCCACTGCATTAGCCACATTTCAAGCGTTCAGTAGCCGCGTGCATGTCACAGTTGTAAATGTCATGTAAATTAATTTGTGCTCTTCAGCGGCCTCGTGAGGGTGGCATATTATTTTTTTTTTTCTTTTTATTAACATAAGGTATTATTTATTTCAGGGGTACAAGTCTGTGGTTCATCAGTCTTACACAATTCACAGCGCTCACCATAGCACATACCCTCCCCAATGTCCATCACCCAGCCACCCCATCCCTCCCACCCCCCTTAACGTAAGCTTCTTGACAGGAGACACACTCTTATTTACATATGTCCAGTACCTCGAATAGTGCCAGTCCATAACAAGTGCTCAGGGATTGTTGACTGAACAAATGAATGATCTCATCGGTGTTTTTGCTGTCAGATCAGGTCACTTTGCTATCAGTGGGAAGTGGAGATCTGGAAGGTTGGAAGCGCTGTTGGGAAGGTAATACTCTGTTTGAAGGTTGATAAGAGCTGGATGAGGGCAGTGGTGTGAGCATGGACCGGAGAGGAGCCCTGGGGATGTTTTGGAGCTAGAGGTCACAGAAGGGCCATTGGTCAGATACAGGGCAAAAGAGGGAAGAGGGGAAGGTCCTGCAAGGTGCCTCACTTCGATGACTCGGTTGGGGGCAGTGCTGTCAGGGAACGCAGAAGGAGAGACCTGACTTGTAGGCTGGTGGTCATCTGCAGAGATAGTTTTCCAGTTTGGGATTCTGGAAGAGAGCTCAAAAGGGAGGTACAGCTTGGTACATCTACACAAATAGAAGCCAAGGACGGAGCCTTGGATTTGGCTGTTCGGAGGTTACTAAGGGCCTTTGAGAAAGTTATGGTGATTTGCACTGGAGGGGGCAGAAGCCAGATTACGGGCGGAAGAGGAACTGAGGTGAGGAAATAATGATCTAGGCTCCTTCCCTGAGAAAGAAAGGAAAGAATGGGACAGTGTTTGGAAGGAGAGGTTTGTGTCGAGAACCATGTGTGTCATACGTGCGGAAAGAGTGATTGCAGGTGAAATA